TGAAGCCCAATATGAAAGCTCTTGGCCAAGTCAAAAGCTGCTGAGTTTTTTGCCCCTTCTCCCGTTCTATCGAAAGTGACGAAAAAAGTCCACTTTTCCAATTCATTGTTTGATTTTCAATCGTCTTATGAAATATTTGGCTGGAATGAAGCGGCCTTGAATCACTTCGAGTTTGACTTGAATCACTTCGAGGTTTATTGTTCACCCCTTTTTACTAAAAAATTTCTCAAACTCGCCGAGCACCTTAATAAGACTCTTACTCATGTTGAGGAAGCATATCGCGCTTTTATTTCTTTTAGTTTAGGAGCACGATTTTTTAAATTTTGGACTGCGGCACAAAAAACAAAATTTGAAACTGAAAAATCCTGAAAAATCTGTTAGCGGCTCGACTGAAGCCAAGCTCATCGAGCATCTTAATAAGACTCTGCCTCATGGTTGAGCCACAAAAGCGCGCTTCGATCTCTTCTTATTTGGGAGCAACGAATCTGTTAATTCCGGACAACTTTCAATTTTGAAAATTCGTCAAAAGGCGCTCAGTACGCTCAGTTAAAACGCGTTTCTATCTCTTGTAGTTTGGGAGCGAGAAACTTTTAATTCAGGGTTGAGGCACAAAAAACTTCACTTCAAATTTGGAAATTTCGTCAAAAATCTTTTAGAGGTCCGACTGAAGCTAAACTGATCGAGCATCTTAATAGGACTCTTCCTCATATTGAGGCAAAAAAGCGAGCTTCGATCTCCTCTGATTTCAGAGCAACGTTTTTTTAAATTCCGGACTGAGGCATTAAAACCCAACTTTCAATTTTGAAAATTCCTCAAAAGCCGATCAGTAGCCCGATGGAAATCAAACTAATCGCGCATCTTAACAAGACTCTTCCTCATGTTGGGAACAAAGAGGCAAAAAATCGCGATTTTATCTCTACCAGTTTTGGAGCAACACATTTTTGTATTCTTGACCGAATGCCAAAAAACCCAACTGGAAGATTCCTCAAAATCCCTGAGTGACCCGGAAACCAAACTCACCCAGCATCTTAACAAGGCACTTTTAGGTCTAGATCGCGTAATATTCGTAAAAACATGCAACTCACCGATTTCTTTGAAGACAATGGGAGACACGTCCTTACCTGCAACAAAAATTTCCGTTAGTAAACAGGCACTTTTCACCCTTTTTCAGCATTCTTGGGCAAACGAAAAGCTGCTTTACAATGGGCGAGTTTCATAGAGCTTCAAGGGTTCTACTTTGGCATTGCACTACACCCTCACCACCTGCGGGGATCCCGAAAAATCGACGTTAAACGATTATCACTACACGGCCTGTCTGCGCTCCCCCAAAATGATTTCCTGCCCCCACGGGAGTTACGTTCCTAGTAAAACACTTAAAAAGTGTAAAACGGCAATTCTGGGGGGCTGAAGGAGCGAAATGGAAATGCGACCAGAGTATAGGTTTTATGCTGTTTCGTTGCTTGTCGGGAGCGTAAATCTCGCGTGCCCAACAACTCGCATTGTCATACAATTACGGACACGTTGACCTTAATTTTTGCCGTAAATGTATTCCCATGAACCGGACAGTTTGAAAAAAACCAGCCGATTTCCTGAGAAGTGAAAGAACATGGCGTAGGTCGCATCAAGGCCGACCATTTCTTGCACTATGGCCATACTGGGACAGTGGAGGATCGTTAGACCGCCATAGTTTATTGACCGGGTTTCTGTTGGTTTCTTGCGGAATTGCTCCTACCTGGCCAACCTCAAAGAGAGGGAAAAAAACAAGAAGCAGCCAGTCGTGCATTTCGCTATAGTCGAAAGGCGAGTAAAAAAAATGACTGAAATTCAGCACCTAAAAATAGCCGATTAACTATCATCGGAACTGAAATGGGGACACCACAAGCAGCTAACAAGGAAGTGGGTTCCATTAGCCGGACAGCTGCAGTTTGAGTCTTCGCTCTGAAGAGGCGATCTGGCCAAGAGGCCCAACTCTTGAAGCCCAATGAAAGACAAACAGACGCCCCAACTTAGTAACCAGATCTTTTGTTTATCCGCCAATTATTCGAGCTATTTGGGGCGCAGGAATGGTTTTTTTCAAACATGTTTGCCCATGTTGAGGGGGCATGGAGCATCAATAGAAATTTGACAGAATATTCAATTCCATCTCACTCATTATGCATGGATAAAACGGGACAAACAATGGCAGAGTTAAACTATACGAAATTATTTAAAAGGCCGTTTGTCCTAAACCACGTCTATTTCAAAACAACAGCAAATATTAATAAAAGGAAAAAACCTGGCGCTTATATTTTTATACACACATGCCTCTGGGCATCTCCGGGCCGTCTGGGGCGATTTTTATTGAAAATCCTCGCAGGTAAACCGGAATAAAACCAAAAGAAGCGCGGCAAAATGCGGCGAAAAATGGCAGAAATCGAACAAAGTTCGTCCTCATTGTGCTTTCCCTTGCCTCTGCAGGCAAGGTGGCTTTATTAGATTTTATTTGAACGGTGGCCGCCGTTAGAGAACACTATGGACCTATTATATGAACACGAAATTGGCCACCACCGCTTCCCTATTCCTAAAATGGAGCTAGAAATTGGAACATGAAATGGCCTGAAGCAGAAAAACTCAATTTGCTCCACTAGATTGAAATTCGCCTGCACTGCTGGGCTTGGAATTTGGTGCTGACGTTTCGCTAACACGCAGGGCTTGCATTTTCAAAAATATGTCCCCTTTGGTGACGAATAACCGAAAAATCACCATTTCTCCAAACAATAACCGTTTCACTATATTGTTTGTCATGGAAAATTTGGATCAAGTTTGAATTTAATGAACCACTCCAGCGGGTAAATATTTCGTTTTAATTAAAAGCGTCGTCGCATAAGGAAGTGGAAATTCAATTTGCTTCAAACTGGCTCGACTCGATTTTACATAAACTGAGGAAAACTGCACGCATTAAAATTACAAATATCGAACTTTCAACTACAGCAAATGAATCCATTTAGGGCGGCTGTCGCCCCTCGGCTAGACGGGGAGCAGTTCCGCTAACACAAGGGGTGAAATGCAGGGGAGCACACTGGACAATCTAAAGTGGTGTCTTTGGGGCATTCGATCTATTCCCGTTAAGCTTTTTGGGGCGCACTTGGAAATGCAAAGCTGCTGGCTCTGAAGGAAATTTACACACACACACCTTTCCTGTGTATTTCATTAAATAATTGTCGAAAATCTACTGGCTGAATACCGAAGACATTAGCAGGCAAATTAAAAGATCATTACCCATGTAACTGATTGTTGATATGCGTTTCGAACGAATCAAGTTGATTGTGATAAGTTGCCGTCTAAAAATAGCCAACTGGATGAACTTAAATGGGAACACTACACGTACCGTTAACAAGGAAATGGCCCTATCAGCAACAGAAAGATTGGCTTTGAACTGAATTTCCAGGCCTGGCCCCGAAAGGAGCCAAACAGAACTTGCTACACAAGTAAATCTGCAAATTCTCCAAGTTTATTGGTAAATTTTGTAACACCTAAAGCCAAAAAAACATCAAATTTCTCCTGAACTAGAGCTGATAGAACAGTGAGGCTTACGCGACTTCGCGAAAAAGCACTTTTCTTGTTATATGAAGCAAACGTTTCAAAAATCGCGTTTTTCAGGTTCGGTGTCGAGAATTTTTCGAACGAATTATCTCCTAGCTAGGGGTTACTCGACTGGAAAAAGGATTTTTTTCTACTACATGCAGCAAAAGTTTCGAAAATTACCCTTTTCCTAATCAGTTGCGTTAATTTTTTTTAAATTTGTTCCCGCACTTTGATAGGCAACTGAAAACCATTCAAGTGCTCTGTGTCTCCACCAGATACAGAAAAGAGTACTTTTTCCTTTAACATACCTCGAAAGTTTCCAAAAACGCGGCAATTTTTTGAAAGTTGCTCCGCCTATAAACAATTGAAATTTCAGCGGCACAAGACCAGACACAGCAAGGTGAATCACTGGGCTGGAAAGGGCACTTTTCCTTTTATGTATCCCGAAAGTTTCGAAACTGCCCCTCTTCAGACTAAATTGCGGGGATTTTTTGAAAACTTCCTCCCGCGCATGGACAAGAAAAGATAAAAAACGAAATGTCTCCTGATCTAGACCCGATGCAGCAACAGGAGTCACTGGCCTGGAAAGGCAAACTATTATTTCATAGACCTAGAACGTTTCGAAAATCACCCTCTTCAGGTTCCCTTGTGTGGAACACACATTCAAAAACGATAAAACCTAGCGATTTTCCATCGTTAAAATTGCATTCGCGGTATTGAGAACTGCGTAAGGCCCCAAGGATTTATGTAAAGACAGAAGGGTCAAGCAGTAGCTGCTACTTTAATGATTTCACATTGTCAAGTCTTTGTTAAAAAGCGCAAATGATGGCAGGTGCGGAGTGTAAACCTTAGCCAACAAACTGCTACCGACACCCGAAAAGTGGATTTGGAACAATCGAAGGGACAGAAACAGGATGGCAAACGGCCTATGAGGACTTGAAGAATGGTCAGTACCTAAAGCAACCGATGAATAAGGCCTCTGGAATGTGGGTTATTCAGGTTTAACAGGTGTTCACTGCCAAATGCATCACAAGCCGCTTCAAAGCAAAGGTGCCCGTTCGAAAGGCTCGCGACCTGTGCACACCTTTCTGGAACTTTGGCTGGAAATCCTGCATATTTCCAGGCACAGAAATAGTTGTAAGCCCCCCCATTTTCAAACAGTACTTGTTCGTAGAAACAGCGATTTTTACTAATGAAAAATCGCCGGTTTATAACGGCAACTCAACGACAAATCAGCGCCAAATGGCAGGGCCGGATGGAAGGCCCAGGCCTTGTTCAGGAGCTTCCCTGCCTGGCGGCAATCGAACTGAATGCAAAAGAAAAACAAAACTTACCATCCTTTGGCTTTGGATTCGTGCTGGAAGTCGCACTACAATGGCTCTTATCTACCGTACAATACATAATAACAACACCGATTCGCTATGTTTTTTTAAGTAATTCTCACCGAACCAAAATTACCATAATTCTTAATTTTATCGGGATTTACCACGGCGATTCGTCCCGCAAAGATCACTGCCAAAACGCGGCGGCCATATCTAAATTTTTGTTTACTGTCACTGGGTAGATGGCGCTGTAGTACGACCAACTTTTCACCAATCCTAAGCCCGCTGTGTTGCCGCAAAAAAAAACGCAACAATCTATTCGTTCTAGAAATTTAGCCGAAAATTCCCAATTCTTTGAATGCAAACCCCTGCTCTATCCAACCAATAAAAACCGTGTGAGCAAGCGACCAGACAAAAAGAGCGCTTTCCCAAAGAGCTGACAGCGTGGAAGCATCAGCTGATCAATCATGTCAAATGTGTTGTCAAAGTGAAAGCAACTTCAAAATGTCAACGTGTCCGGAAGGTTAATTTTCACCAAGAGCATAATTGGGGCTCTACTAACTCTAAATGGCTCCAACTAAGCACCTGGACATTGACCCGCAGCCCGAGAAGCCCAGGAGCAGCATCCTGTGCCTGGACATCACCAATTTCGGCCAAACAGCCCAATTTCTCCTCTGCAGTGCGGCGGTATTTGTCTTCTACCTGCTCTATGGGTACATGCAGGAGCTGATATTCACCATCAAGGGCTTCAAGCCCTTCGGGTGGTACCTCACGCTAGTCCAGTTCGGATTCTATACGGTTTTCGGCCTCATTGAAACCAAGATCCGGGGCATTCACACGCGCAGGTAAATCTAGCGGTTTGTTGATAAATACATCGTACTGGAGCTCCATTTGCAGGATTCCCATCCGGACCTACTCGTTCTTGGCCTTGTTGACATTGGGCACCATGGGGCTGTCGAATTCCTCATTGGGCTACCTGAATTATCCCACTCAGGTGATTTTTAAATGCTGCAAACTGATACCAGTGCTGGCTGGCGGCATCCTGATTCAAGGCAAACGGTATGGCCCTCTGGACTTTTTTGCCGCTGTGTTAATGTGTGTAGGACTAACTTTATTCATTCTGGGTGTGTATTGTTTAAGAAACTAATCAGCTTGTTTCACTCATTAACGTGCCATTTACAAACCACTTTTGTACTAGGCGTTAATGTGAGAGTAGCTAGGATTAACATCACTTACCACCCCTTCATTGGTTAACAGCACTGGCAAAACTGTTTCAGCTGACTCTCAGGTGCAACCGAACTTCAACAGCACTGGAATAACCATGATTTTCTTGGCCCTACTGTGTGATGCCATCATCGGCAATGTTCAGGAGAAAAACATGAAGAGCTATGGAGCCCCAAATGCTGAGGTTGTTCTCTACTCGTATGCCATGGGGTTTGTGTATATCTTCGTAGTGATGCTGCTCACTGGCGATTTTGCGGCTGGCGTTCAGTTCTTCGGGCAGGTAAACAGGCGCAAGTTCCTCTAAAACACTGGGAGGATAACTCGGCTCTTTCAGCAACCATATGTAACGTACGGCTACGCCTTTATTTTCTCCGTCACTGGATATTTGGGCATCCAAGTGGTCCTCACTCTGGTGAGAACGACTGGAGCCTTCGCTGCTGTGACGGTCACCACCATGAGGAAAGCGGTGACCATTGTGATATCGTTTGTTTTCTTCAGCAAACCCTTCACCTTGCAGTACGTAGTTTAGAAGGGATGAATGCCAGGATTATTAACGCTGTTTTTAGGTATTTTTGGTCGGGCGCCATAGTGGTGCTGGGCATCTACCTGAACCTCATCAGCAAAAAGCACCCGATGACCATGGGCGATTTGGAGGATTGCTCCGATAAAATCCTCAGGCGCTTAAGAACGAAGCTGATTGCCAAGCAATACAATAGTGGCCAATATTTGGCCAATGTATAGTGTTACATAGAATTCGACAATTAAAACTATTGACTTTAAATGTATTGGCACTTACCTAAGCTAGATCGCTGTTTGGATGTTCAAATGAATTCACCACCAACTCATTGCACGATGCTCTAAACAAACAGTAGAAAATTAGTAAAATTCATCGTCGTCCTGACTCGGATCTCGGACTTTATTGCGCGGAATAACTTCGAACTGAAACCCCCGATGGATGCAGTAAAACGCCGAAAATATGTCAAGAGTAGCACAGTATTTAATTGTCTTATATATACAAAAACAGTTCAGTATTGGCTAAATAGTCAAATTAAAAATACCTTATAGTTAGTCGTAAAAAAACGATATAATGCGGTTTTTGTGATGATGGAAGTAGCGTCCCAAAGAGCAACTTACTTTCAATTTTATGGCTGCAAAAAACGAACATTCCTTTGTCCCCAAACGAGACAAATTTTCATGAAACACGCCTAATTTTAGACTCCTTAACTACATGCAACTTAAATCGAAGGAATTACAACGTAATAAAAACACATTTACATCAACGCAACCGAGTGAAAAAGCGCGACTTTAGCAACGAAATAACGCTAGATAGTTTGTCTTGCAAGAATACCTCAAATTTATAAAAGTCCCTGTTTTTCATTTAACTAAACTGGTAGAAAGTCTAAGTCTAATTACTTGGTAATGAGCGCAGCGGGAAAACGATCAACTTGTTGGGTGAAATCAACCAAAACAAATGGCTGCGCTCTCTTAAAAGAGTTACGCTAAAGTATAAAATGACCACTAGTATTCACAGTTTGTATATGAAGACCAGACTACAATTGAAGTAGAGTGGAGAAACTACGTCAAATGCTTAAACAGGAGGAGCGCGGTATTTTCCTACCTAACGTAGAAAAATATGACATTTATCAATGGTGGATTTGCATGAAACATGCGGCTTTGTCGCACTGTTGAATCCACCAGTTACTTCTTCACTAATCTTACGGATACCCTGGCGACTAGCTGACAACTTGTTTAACAAAACTAAATTAATATATAGATATCACAATGACAGTGAAACGCAACGAAACCACGGTTTAAAGGAGGAAAGAAGCACGTTATTCATATAGTTGGAACGGTTTTAGAATTATTATTGTTCGATTCTACCCTAAGTTGAGATCCGTTGATGGATGACTTGGACCGATTGATGGGAGATATAAATCCCGCCAATCCAAATAAACCAGCGGTTGTTTCAACGTTGAAACTGTTCATTGAATGGAGTCTCCGTCTGGTCACCCAAAAAATGCCCTCACTCCAGCTAGTTAATCGGGCACTTCTCTGTAAGGCACCTCACTCGTGACGTTGAACCGCTCAAAGTAATGGGTGAGGAACTCAAAAGTAGGTCGGGCCTCAGGAATGGCATCCCAGCACTTCAACATGATCTGGTAGATCTCGTCGGGCAGACTGTGCGATGATGGTTTGGGCATTCGATAGCCCTGCTCGACCAGTTCGATCACCTCTCTGCCATGCATTCCTGGATAGGGCACTTGGCCGAAAGTGAACAACTCCATCAGGAGAATTCCGTACGACCACACGTCCGATTTGATGGAGAATTTGCCGTAAACGATGGCCTCTGGCGCGGTCCATTTCACCGGAAACCGGCTTCCTTGCTTCGGACAGTACTCGTTATCCTCGATGACTCTGGCCAGGCCAAAGTCGCAAATCTTTGCAATGTTATTTTCGCCGATCAGCACATTTCTCGCGGCTAGATCTCTATGAATCAGCTGCTTGGACTCCAAGTATTCCATGCCAGAGGCCACTTGGAACGCTATGTATATAAGGTCTTCAAACTCCAGGAGTTTACCCTCGTCCTTGCGCAGAAACTCCAAAAGACTGCCCTTCGACATGTACTCCTGCACTATATAAACTGGCTCCTGCTCACTGCAAACCCCATATAGGGCCACCTGATGAAAAATCAGCTTAGTACACACGATCTTAAATAAGCTAGCGCAAGATCTTTACCGTTCTAAAGTGCAACATTAAACTTCACCAGTGTCTATGCGGGTTAATAGGGGGAACTAATAAAATGCACTAAAAACACCGCCACTTGACCAATATACACATGCGGGGATTTAAAGCAAAACCGTGAAATGCGTGGTTAACCTGGCAAATTAGTGATAGGCAAACATGAAAGCCACTCACCAGCCTTTTGTGTCTGAAGGTTTTCATGATGGCGGCTTCCTGCAGAAAAGCCTGCGTGGACATTGTGCCCTCCCGCAGCGTTTTCACTGCTACATCATACTGGTTCTTCCACTTGCCGAAGAACACTTCGCCGAAATTCCCATGCCCTAATCTTTAAAGTCCGCCGATTATTTAGTGAAAAGTCTTGAACCAGCGGGAATACCTGGTGAGAAGCTGGATTTCGTCTCGGGAAATTTCCCACTTATCCCTGTACGTCGGGGCGAGGTCCCACATGGTGGGCTCTGGCTTTCTGCATGGTTTGGACAAAACATGGCACAATCCATAGGCGTTTTCTGCAAAGGATTATATATGTTTACATAAAATGCTTCCGCACTCTTAATTTCTTTCTGTACTTACTGCTGTAAGCCAGGACTAGCTCTGGAAGCGAATCGTAGGTCTTATTAGTGGAAATATAAAATCCTCCATTGTCCAGCGGCTTGATTTTGTAGTGTTTCACATGGTAGCCGCGATGGGCTTCCCAGTCTTTCACCGATAGGGAGTATCCGTTCGGATTGTGCTCCGATGGACGGATTAGGAACGTGCCCCGTGGTTGGGTCTCGTCGCCTAGCAGCAACTTTTCCGCCTCTTTGCGCGAAATGTTCTCGAAGAACCAACTGGAAAACGCCCGGTTATTCATGACCGAATAGTAGAAAGGCATTTACTCTTCGCTCTCCACGCTCAGTTCGGCAGCCACAAAGTTTCCAGGTATGTAGCCCTTCAGCCCGGTGATTTGGTGTTCCACGAACAACCAGTCGCCGCCAGATTCGTCCAAGACCTCCATGCGGTCGCCTTTGACGAAGGAAAGATCCTGAAAAAACGCACATATTTTTCGGCTGAAGTCAGTGCGTCTGCAAATTTACCTGCGAATCTCGGGCTTCATAGCTATAGCCGGCTACTACGATCTTCGGCTTAATGGGAGTGATGGGTGTCGAGTGGGTTTGAGGCTTTGGTGGCTTGCTGATGGCCGGTGTTGGCACGATTGGTCTGATTTCCGGCACGGTTGGCCCTTTTTTCAGATTCTTGGCAGCTAAACCGATAACATTGTAACAAGAAGGATTAGTCAGCTTCACATATGTTTTGCCATTGTACAAATATACAAAAACCTGATTGCACTCAACCAGGCCTTGATTTATGAAATTGTCGACGTCCCACAAGTTGTTTGGTAAAAATAGGCCAGGATGTTTTAAATACCCCAGTCATTAAGCTTATTTACTCTGTGTAGATAGCAAAAACACTTGGATGCCTGAGTGCCAGAAACAATTTATTGGCAATTTCGCTAAAAGTCTTACCAGGTTTGTATTTCGCATCGGTGGACGATCCACAGCAACAGCAATTGTTCCCCATCGCATCAGGGATGGGTCTGAGGCAGTGGAGGGATGTCACAAGCCTGCCCAGGAATTCGTGGTCATACTCCTGTAATTTAACTAAATATTAAAACCAGGCGCTATCGAAATGCCGCAAGAATGTCGAAAGCGTTCGACAGGAAGCCACAAAATATTTCTACAGGGTAAATCGAATATGAATACTAAATAATTCGCATCTGTTGAATGTTAATTGGATGCCACAGACTGTTTTCGTATAGCCAGCCTGACAATGGCTATTTGTTACAGACGGCCGATTTTCTATTGGAAACATCGGCCACACATCGGCTTATCGTTATCTCAAGCAGGAATTAGCGGCTATAAACTGGAATTAACGTACAATCAGTGAATTTCAGAGAATTACTCGCCGATACCCTTGAAACCAAAATCTTCCGGTATCATCTTCAAGGCGCGCATACTATCACCCACAGGCAAAGTTATCTATGACCTAATATCCATTAAAARCCGGAGATAARAAAAAACACWCAAGTCAATCAATCAATTCAATGTAGTTTCCCAGTCAAGAAACGCAGCCCCTGATTATTGGAAAACTTGGATAGAAAAAGAGCAGCTTCTTCAAAAATTCCTAGTGGTGTGGATGTGAGAAGCAACAATATTAAATAGTTGCGGCCCTCTAAGCTAAAACACCTTGTTTCTCAGAAACGGATGAAAATATCACAATAATCAATAGCACGGCTTTGATAGAGAAGCTCAAGAACGACCTTTTCCTTTTAAGAGTTCTTTAAAAATTCCTGATGGTTTAGAAGTTAGAAGAAAAAATATTAAATATTTGCGGCGCATACGCTAAATCACCCTGCATCTCAAAAACGGTTAAAAATATCGCAACGCAACGACTTTGATAGAGAAGCTTAAGAACTCGATTTTTTAATTGGACTTCTTCAAAAATTCCTGATGGTTCGGATGTTAGAAGCAAACATATCAAATATTCGCGTCCTCCCTAAGAAACGGTTCGAAATATTGCAATAATCAATAGGACGACTTTGATAGAGAAGCTCGAGAAATGCCTAATTCAATGTGGTTTCGCAGTCAAGAAACGCAGCTCCTGATTATGTGAAAACTTGGACAGAAAAAGCCCTTTTGTCAGGGCGCAGTAACAAACCAGCAGGAAGTCTTTAATTTCAGTGGGGGAGATTGAAATAAGGGAGCAATTCCAGTTAAAACCCGCTCGCAATCAAAGGGCGATGATAAAATGGAAACCATCATGCATACTACACAGTTATTTCCATCGGCGGAATCGCCCAAATGTGAATGATGTAAGAATTGATTTCATCATTCATGCGTATAGGAGGATCATCTGGGATAATGCATATTGTTAAAAAGCTTTTTGATTAGTTGATTGATGATGCTAAAACCCGTAATCGGCCTTGCGAATGCACACAAAAAAGGCACTTTAATGAGTGGCTGCTTCAGTAAATAAATAATCACTAAGCACGAATTGATTTTGCAATCAATTAGGTTCTAATTATGAAAATTAGTGAACTTTCGTAAGCGAGTCCATCGAGAAAACGGGCATTTGTTAACAAATATTAATATGTTGCGAGCGTACAAAAACGGGCGTGTTATTATCACGTGTATCACTTTGGGGCCCATGAATATTTAAACCTTTTTATGCTAATGCAAAGCTCCACCCATTCCCTGCCAGCACTCCTAAACACTAGCTCATTCAAAAGTCCTTAATTTTCTCATTAACAATTTCTGGATACGGAGGCGAAAGAATCCCTTAAAGGCTCCCATCTGGCACTTAGACATTCAACTTAAAATAGTGCAAAGTTGCCCAATGTGTTAATAAATTGACACAATAGCTCATTACGAGCCTGTCGAAACGTTTGGAACTAAAACAATTATTTGTAGACCAAAAGCAATAAAAGCATGGGCTTGATGCAACAAAGACTCCTTAGAAAAACAACAGTTTCTTCTAGGATTAGGCAAAGGCTATTAACAGCAGCAATTAACAATGCTAGAAGACTTAAGATTCTTTCAGTCTGTAAGTGTGGGGTTTACTAGCAATCAATCAACATTCCCCCAACGGAGCGACAATAAAGATTTTATTGTTTATTTGGAAATATCTTATCTGCTAGCTGTGAGATGCGCTTTATCTTGTATGATACCATGAATTTTTTATTGCATAGATGCAGCGGAAGTTATCAAAATCGAATATAATCACCATTTACTTATCTATACGCACCTTTTCCTTTTAACATATCCAGGAAAACGAACTTTTCACGAGAAAAACTTGAATTTGCACTTGTCAAAATGGCATAACCGCTGACAGATGGTTGGACAGCTTTGCGAAAGTTGCCATACTTACTTAAATCTACCAACATTCTACAACTCTCGTAAACACATACTTAGAACATCAAGGAACCGTTCAATGACTAAGCTGGGTTTTTTCCCATTTAAAATAGTTGAAAATTCAATTGCTACTCTTTGGCCGCTTTTTGGGCATTCTGGCTTGCTCGCTAGACTTTCAGTAAAAACTTGGGACGAAATATGGCAACTACCCGTTGCACTAGCGGGAAACATCAAATTTTGACACTCAAAGAAAATTAAATTTAAAAAATGCGATTTTCACATAAAATGGCTTGAAATAGTGAAGTGTCAATAACCAGAGAGGTGCGTATGTATGCCCAGACTCACTCAAGCCTGACTGCAGCTTTTGCTATATCCGTAACATCAACAACATGTAGGTACTAGTCGTAGTCCAAGAGCTGCGTTCCAAATTTGTTCAGTTTCTCTCGGTTTTTCACTTGATTAATGGGAATTAAGGGCTGGTTTCTGCTTAACCGCGCAATATTAACATTCCCCAAGTAGCATTTTTTTGTAGTCCTGCAGGCCTCATAATTGCTTGACGAATAAGGTCTTTTGTTCTGCATCCTTGAAGCACACTTAGATGTCAATTAAGCCATTAGGACCGCAGAGCTGAAGAATGGGTGAAAGACTCGTAAACTGGTCTTCAGCTGCGGTGTAATTTACCAGCAATGAAAATGACAATAACATTTTAACCAGTTTCAAGTGGCAACATAATCACTTTCTCCCATGCACAAAGCCCGTTCGCAAACATAAAAATGCATTTATTCTGGTCAACAGTCGCTCAATTAATTTTTAATTGAAAGTATCGATTCCCACTTCTCTTTGCTGTTTCACTAATAGGAACACCCCACAATATTACCATACAATGCCCCCCCGACATGTCTAAATAAAAAGCAAAATAATACAAATACTGACCTGAATTTCCTGCTGAAATTGGCGGCGTTTAGTGGGAAACCTTCTAATAATCGGCGTCTAATGGAAACTGAACGGTTTAGGTCACGATTCCGCACTTTTCATACATAAAACGCGAATATTTTCACAAACAACAACACTAAACACTGCTCTTTTCGCTCAGTCCGCCATATTGCATTTGAGCGAACGAATCGGACTGGGGAAATGAACAAATCGCGATTTTCTTTTGTTAATTTTGCCCCTACTGATCTCAAACTGGCGGTTGCCGAACTTCGCCAACGAAATGGGGCGTGGTTTTCAGTAACAAACCCGCATTTTCTTCCAAAGGACTCTGCGAGGCTCAAGGGGTAAATTACGAAAATTAGTCAAAAATATCACCAAGCTAAAGTTGAAAACCCCGCTCATTTTACTAGGTCGTAGCACTTTTGCGAATTTCTTCTGCAATTTTCGGTGGCAAAGCCCGGCAACCTTGCCCAATTTTCATTGGACTTAATTGGCCCGTTGGTTAAGGCCTTTAAATGCCTAAAAAAAAACACAAAAAACTGAAAAGGGCCCCAGCAGTAAGTCGTGCATAAAACCATAAGTAAACCCTCTGATTGGCGCCGTTGGTCGGCCTGAAACTCCCTGTGAAAATCCTGCAACTCCTGTCAGTTGATTGTCAAAGTCGACACATTGCCCTATTGCATAAGTGAATATTCTGCTGAGTTTTCTGAGCAAAGAGCTGAGATGGCAGCGAAAAGAATCACCCAGAGCTCCGTTAACTGGGCGGCAATCTCCGAAAGAGTCCCAGAGCACCAGCGGGTCCAGTTTCTGACCTTCAAGTCCAAGTCTGAGGGGTACCTGCGAAGGTAGGTAACTGCCCGTTTTATGTAACTAGTCACCGATGTTAAATCGTACGCAATTGGGGCTGTTTTAAGGGTGTTGGCTCAACCCGAGAAACCGCCAGCGATTAACTGGGACCTGTACAAGCAAAAGGTGCCCATTGCTGGCATGGTGGATGAGTTCCAAAAGAAGTACTCCGCTCTGAGCATTCCCTTTCCACCTGACACTGTCAGTGGACAACTGAATGCTCAGGAAAAGGAAATCCAGGCCGATATTGAAAAGTTTAAAACTGAATCAAATGCTCGTATTGCACAGTAAGTCACTTAACAAGGGCCCAAACAACGTCTTATCAATCTATAAGGCGTTGTCTTGGGACTGCCCTTAAGAGTCGATGGGTGTATCTAGTTACTTCCCATAGGTACAAACAACAACTGGCTCATATCAATTCCCTGCTTCCGTACGATCAAATGACCATGGAAGACTTCTATGACGCCTACCCAGACAGGGCTCTTGACCCCATTAATAGGCCAACCTACTGGCCCCATAATCCAGAAGATCAGCCTGACTTTGAGGAGAAAAATGCCGCCGCTGCTCCTCACTAAAGCGCCGTCACAACTGTTAGATAAACGAAACTAGTATGCCCTTGAAATGAAACTGGAATCGGCTGCCATCGACAATTTAGTGCTATTGCGTAATTTTTTCTTATTGGATAAAGGTTCTACATAGGGGCGAGACGATTGAAACACGCAAATTTAAAAATATTGTCTTTAATTTATCAACAAATAAAATAATATAAAACGCGACGAGATTATCATTGAAATAGTTCAAGGGCCTATAAAATAGTTAAATAAATCATCTCACATATAAAGTTGCAACCTTAAAATCAACAACAATCAGCGTATAAGTGGTTCGCGGTTAAACAAACGCTAATTTACAATATGCTCTGTGCTCTGAGCATTAGCGCAGAGTCTTGGCCTAATCCTAATAAGGCACATACCATGTGTGTTTGAAAATCTGCCTAAGTACAGCACCTTCAATCATCTGCTTTGAGCATTTTCAAGTTCCTTAGTGAGGTATATAGTCGTAAAAAACAATGAAAGGTAAAGGCGCTTCGGACGAACGGAACGAATTAGTTTTGGTACATATCGGACGCTTTCTGAAGGGATTTGTAACTAAAATTCTAACGTTGTTCCGTTTGTTCAAAGCGTACAAGTGCCCACTTCACAGCTCAATTCACTTATCCTTGCCTACAGTCACATTGGTCACGTTGCTGGGGTTAAACACCCACTGTTTAAAGCTGCTTTCCACTCCTCCATTGCCATTATCCTCGCTTTTCCGCGGCGGTATCGGAGGCCGGCTGCTCAGGGTCGGCAACCCCGACGGAGCCTTCGAGTTGTTCTTAATGGAAGTGACCGAAACGTTCTTGGTAGTGGGCGGTTTGATTTTCGACTGGAACGGAGTGGAGTGAATGCTGGACGAAGACATCAGCTCTAACAGCGCGCGCTCATTTTCATTGTCCAGATTTCTGGAGTCGCGTCTCTCTGGACTCATCGGGGGCGTTTTCATGGTGGTGGAAATGGGGATTCGGGACTTGGGCGGCGTTGTGCTGTCCCTCCTTTGGGGGCTTTTGTCGTTGGATGTCTTTTCGAAATTGGACCGCAGCAGCTCGAAAGAGTGGCGTTTTTCTGGGGTTTTGCGCCCGCCACTTTCGTAGCTCGAGGTGGAGAACCGCATCTCCGGCAGCGTCTTCAGCTGCTCCTCGGCTAGTTCCTGGATTTTGCTCACCTGCCGTTCCACGTCCGCTCTTTCGTCCAAAATCATCGACTTTGGCTCTTCGCGGATGAAATCTTCCAAGTTGTCCTCAAAGCTTTGCATGTTGCTCTCAAAGTTCCCCAGCTTGCTCTCGAAGGACTTTACGTAGTTCTCGAAGGCGTTCTCCAGGTGGTCGTCACTGTCTGGGCCGATTTTCACTTCGGACACATTATTGGGGGTCAACACCTGTATCTCCGTGATGAAGCTCTGCTGGTCTTCTTCCTGGGTTGGCTCACTTAGCAGGGGCTGCAAAGCGGCAGCCTCCTTCGGAGGCCTGTCCACCAATGGCTCCTCCATATGCAGGGACTTGGCCATGGCCTGCAGCTGCGGCTTGTCCACCTCAAAGGTTGAGTACTTGCTCTCGGTTATCTCCACTTTGTAGTCGTCCTGATGAGCGCCGTCCTCAATCTTCATCTGCTTGCTCTCGTACACGTTGACGGGGACTTCGTCCGGGCCCTTCGTCACTTTGGAGAAGGAGCTTTCGGTGATTTCCACCAGCGGCTCTTTGGGTCCAGTTTCAATTTTCTTCACTGTGATCTTATTGGGTCTGGATACGATAACTGTGACATCATTGCTGGTGGACAGTCCCAGGGAGTCTTCTAGAGCAGTGGAGTACAAGTCGCTGGGCTCGTTGTTGATGCTCAATTCCAAGCTGTGCAGATTAGAGGCTCCATTATCTGTGACGGTCACATGGCTGACTAGCAGGTCCTCACTCTTGGCGTCATCAGACTTCGGTTGATCGTCCGCGCGCTTCGCCTCCAGGCTCTCGAAGGAGCCCCTGGACACCTTGAGGTCATCGGGAATGTTCGTGTTGGCATCATGGATGGTTCTTTCGTTCAGCAGGAAATTGGCTGTAAGGTTCTTGACGGTGCAAACGCTCTTGGTTTCATCCGGGAGATTAACGTCGTTGGAGGCAGGCTCACTATCCACCACTGTGACTAAGCTTCCATAGTTCTTGTTGTAGCTGTCCATGACCTCGTCCACTAAGGTCATGGAGGCAGGCGGGGAGATGTTCTGCAACGCGTCCACCTCCCATTCGTCCTTGATCATCTGGTTCTCCCCATTGCGGCCCTTGGCGATCTGGGAGCACATTTCTGATATGTTCTGCTTCTCGAAGGAAGTCACTGGGGGGACTTTGCCGATTTTGCTGTTCAGGTTGATGACTGTTTCCTTGTCGGGGGTCTTTTCGCGCTTGGGAGGCACTGGCTTGATGCACTCATACTCCAGAGTCAAGGGAGGATTGGCGCAGATTAGCGAGCTGGAGGCCAGTTTGGCTGGGGAGGTTGGCCCTCGCACCACATCCATTTTTTTCTCCCCTGGTTGATCGCTGATCTTCAATTTGGTTCTTTCGGGCACAACCGGCACCGGCTGGCGCTTGTTGTACGGTTCCTCGTCAATTTCTAGGCTGCGTTTGGTGATCTCCGGCTTCTTCTCCAGCCGTTTCCAGCCGGATTTTTCGAACTGGACCATGTCCTGCTCGTCCGGCCACAGTTTGTTCACCACCTCGGCCGGCGGATCGGCAGGCAAGGCGCTTCTTTGGTATTGCCTGATCACCTCGTCCGGTAGGATGTCGATTTCCTGACTCTCTCGCTTGATTTGAATCACCCGGTCCATAACGGCGTTGAATTGCGGCTCAGATGTGCGTCTTTGTCCGCGACCTTCCTCGTCCCGGTTCAGGCTGAGAATTGCGTCTTCTAGATTGCCCCATTCGGTGGAAGTTTTCAGGCGGTCCCTCTGGAAGCTCGTTAGGCCATCTAAGATAAGCGACAGCCTGGGTTCTCTGTCGATCAGCAGGTTCTCGCGCGCGTCGTAGGTTCGTTTCTTCGATAAGTTCGATCCGGATGTGTCGGTGATGTCCAGGCTCTGGGCCCTTTCCAGGGTGCCGTTGTTCGATCGGGGCGATTTCTTCATTTTGGTCAAATCGCCCGTGCTGGCGGTTTTTCGCGACGTGTGCGCTTCGTCCTCCGTCTGGTGGATGGTGATGTCGCTCGCGTTCAGCTCGATGGTGTTCACTGAAGACATATTCTGTTGGTCGTCCTCAGAGTCTGAGCCATAAGGTGCCATCGGGGAGGAGTCGTTGCCGTCCAAAGCGCTCAGATCCTCAAAGGCCCTGGTCTTGCCTCCTCCTAGCGAGAAGTTTGCCTTCAGTTCCCCAGGGGGAGGAGACGGGGCTTTGCCTTTGGATTTTCTTGGGGCGTCGTCGCTGTCTACAGCAGCGCTTTTGCGGTTTCTGCGCGCCATCAGAGCGGCATCGTTCATGTGATCGGGGATCTCCAGAGGAATCCCATTGGGGTCGCGCCGTATTCCCGAGTCGTTCCTGTGGAAGCCGGGGTCTGGCGACTTTTTCTCCCGTTTCTTCGCCTGCGGCTTTACATCCACTTCGTCAATGCCCTGGACCTCTTCCTGCAAGTTCCGCTCGATGTTCACGTTGTTTTGGTTCTGCTCGAAAATCTTGGGGCTTTTCTGTGGCGTGTCGATGGGAAGCACCTTGACCCCGAACTTCTGCGCCTGCTGCAGCTGGCCGTTGCTCTTCCGAGTTTCCTCCGCTATGGATTGGGCCAAGTGGCTGTTGAGGGTTTCCGGCGTGAGTTTCTTCGGCTTCGACTGGTTGGGGCGCGGGGACTTGGACTCTTTGCGCTCCAACGTCGTCACGTTGCTGCGGGACTTTTGCAGGCTCGAGTAGTTGGAGCCGGACGAGTAATCGTCCGGGTAGAGCTTCTTTTTCGCTGATTTCTCCGGCTGGAAAAGTGGAAAAGTCACAGTTCTAGAGGAAAATCCACGATTAAATGAGGAGACCTACATAGAGCAGGTCAACCAGGCTGGAGCTTCTGTAGATCGGATGCACTGGCGTCTGGCCCTGGCCTTGAGTGAAGGCAATCATTCTGCTGCCCTTTGCTTCGATGATCACCTCATAAGGACTGGCGTAGCTGAGGATGTTCAGGGCATCTTCATAGACCATGTGCTCGAAGCTGATGGTCACGCTGTTAATGCGGTCACCTGAAGCCCGATTGGATGGGGGGGTTAGGGATTTTGAGGGTTTTGAGGCTGGGTAGTACCTGGATTGAGTTTTCCAGACTCGAAGGCAGGCCCGCGATGCAAAATGTCCCTGATGTAAATGCCCTCCTTCATGTTGCCGCATATGGTGAAACCCAGCCCGGTGAAGTCCTGGCTCTTCAGCTCCACCACTTTCACCTCATTGCTCTGAAATCCGCAGCTTGAGGAGGCCAGTTGAGGGTTATTGATGGGGTTTTACCTGTAAAGCGCTGTCGTCCAAAGCGCGCTTTTTGTCCGGTTTGAGCGTCAGGCCTGCGAATGGGGACCAGTGGGCTTTTTTCGGCTTTGTCTCGGATTTCGGGAATAGTTCCGTTGTGGAAATAAGGGTGGCATCTGGAAAAAAATGTTTATTTGCAATTTCCTTGCGGGGTGAAATTCGTGTGGGGTTTACCTTTGAAGCCTGGATTATCAAATGCGTATTCGGCTTTGCCGCCTCTTTCGGGGTCCGTTTCCAGAATGAGGTGGTTATCTGGAACAGATAA